TGCCCAGGGGTGGAGTTAAGGCGTACCTACAGAATAATAACTGACCACCTCCTTTGTTCCAGACCACTGTCAATCCAAATGGAAACATTTGACTCTATCTTCTTTTTTGTACCTGCCACAGAAATAATAATTGCATCTACAAATTTGTTATTATTTTCCCATTCCATAGACATGTTGCACGTCCCACCCACGATCCAATAGGACGGACATCACAATTCCTTTCCCTAGGGTCAAGTTAGGCCACTCATGTTTGGACTTGGTTAGAAGATGGCGCTTGTCACATTCCAAATATAACAAAAATGAGGCTTAATTATTATTCTGTGGGGGGTAAATATGAATATTTTTGTCCTTCCTTTGGATATGATACTAGAACAAAGCTAATGGCATTTACATATCAAAGAGATTTACTCATCACTTACAAAATACAGGCCAATGGATGAAGAGACATTCAGACTTTTTCCAAGTGTAGAACCTCACACCTTGCAGACTTCACATCCATACAGTAAAATCCTTTTCACATTCCTATGCCATTCACACTACCCCTTTTGTCATCTGCCCTCTGTGGGGGGGTCCCAGCTTCAAAAGATGTAACCCCTGTTGACCTCAGCAATAGCATCTCTGTAATTTGTGCCATTTACTACAAGAAATCACATTAAAAGATGATATTCCATAGTGTCATAATAAATTATACACCCTTGCCGTGACAATGGCTCCTTCTGGTGATGGTACAATTCAATGCTCCTCGTAGAGAGCAATCACTTAAACACGGTCATTTAAGTATTGTTACTATAACATTTTGTAATTTTATAATATTGTAAAGCGTCGCGGAATGAGTTGGCGCTATATAATGCCAAAATTAATAATAACAACATAATATTGGATTTGCTATCTTTTTTATCACATTGGGTAGCATAATCTATATGTCATAAACTCTCTTCTCTTCTGATATTTAAAATGCAAATATACTTTTAGTTCATTTCGAGGCAATGCTGGGATAAAGGAAAACAAAGAGTGTTTTACATATGAAACAACGAATGTCAATATAAGTGGTATCCTTGATTTTCAAGAAAAAAAAAAACATCTAAAGAACTTGCTTGGTGAAAACTTGAAGAATCGACCAACATAAGATGTTTCCGAGTAGACTTTGAATTAAAAGTTCAGCCAAAAGTTGAACAAAGCAGCTTTAATCAAAAAACAAAAAGTTTGGCTTCAGATATTTCTAATAGATAGGACTCTCGAATACTGAAATAGACGTGATCTGGACAGAAAGCTAGAAAATTGAATTAATCATTTGTATATCTTTTGTACAAAAAATGCTGCAAGAACACTGTAACCACTGCAATGTAGTCATTAGACTGCAAATAAAGAAATGTTTGATAGTTACTTCAACATACAATTGAGAGTCTATATCCGACTTAATTGAAAGCAAAAATATTTTTCTAGATGCAGTCATGACCTTGAAGAAAAAAAAAAAAGAAGGATGGTCAACGATGCTTGTTTACTGACACTTGCAAATTCTATATCTACATTACGGCTAACGAAACGTTCTGCACATGTAATTCTCAATTGAGAGTCGACAAAGAAAAACAAACTATTGATAGAAAAAGTGCAGCTATTATACAACATTCTCATGAACTGTGATTTGCTATGAATATACTGCCACCCACTCATATTGAAATAAACGGATTAAAAATGTGCATCGATAAACTCACAAACAGTGCAGAAGAAAGAAATATTTCTGAAAAGACTCCAGATCTCATGCTCTGTCTTAGGGTACAAAGCTATTTGGGCAGAGTAGACCACAGACTATAACCACACAGCATTGTAAATCAGTATCAAAGTATAAAACATTGTAGATGGCACCTGTTTCTTTTGTGCTTTTTCTTATGAGCTAAGGAAAGTATCATAGACAGATAGAACGTAATGTAGTGAAGTACAGAAATTGAAACAGAATACTGAAGATCTATGCAGACAGTTGCTTTTCCGGTAACACGTTGCTATGGTTCTCTGGTAAGCAGGTAAAAAGCAGGATTCTAAATAAAGTGGCGAGATATCTGGAATGTTACAAGCAGATACATGATGAAGTTATACTGGCTGCACAGATAAAATATCAGTGTGGACAATTTGTGTTTTTTGTTTTGTTTGTGTTTTTATTTGTATAAACACTAGTATACTATTGGGATAATTCGAAGTTGCACAGAAGACAGATAATGCAGTTTTAGAGGAATTTACTGAGAACTCTGTATGTACTAAGAAATCAAATTTAAAAAAGGAATTTTAGAAACGAGATGCAGGCATTGAACGGTAGAGAGCAAATATAAATTAAGAAAGCAGAAGGATAGACACATAAAACAGATGCAAACAGTGCAAAATCTGTTACAATGATTAACATGGGGTGGAGGAACGGACTTAGTGTTTGATTCATTATTTATATTTTTATTGTTTTGTCTATTTTATTCTACTGCTTGTTCCTACTTCTGTGAGGTCCTGGAGTTTCTCCTTTGGATTGAGCGCAGTGGTTTATGATAGGCCACTATTTATATTCTGAGAGTGTAATCCAATAAAGTGTAATTTTAAGTGTTTACAGTGCTGCACTTTGTATCTGTTTCTCCTTTTTTTCCTACATGTGTATATCTGGATTGTCACGCCAAGGGTGCATAATTCATTGTTGCACTATGGAATACTGTCCTTTCATTTAATTTGTATAGTGCATAAATGAACTGTCTGCCTGGTAGAGATGGTATTGACAATGTCAAAAGGGTTAATTTGATTGTATGGGAGGTCAGAAGGTTTATAGCCTCAATTCCTCTTTGAAGTTACACATACGTCGCCTGGAAGTCTGGTTTAAATATAAACTAAACTCTCTAATTTGCCATATGTCTAGATGCACTCTTACACCCTGTTCCAAATTATTATGCAAATTTTATTTAAGTGTCACAAAGATTAAATATTTTGTTTTTAAGTTTAACTCATGGATGGCATTGTGTCTCAGGGCTCTTTTGATCACTGAAAACAATCTCGGACACCTGTGATAATTAGATTGCCTGGTGAGCCCAATTTAAGGAAAAACTACTAAAGGAGAGTGTTCCACATTATTAAAGGACCACTCTAGGCACCCAGACCACTTCAGCTTAATGAGGTGGTCTGGGTGCCTGGTCCAGCTAGGGTTAACCCATTTTTTCATAAACATAGCAGTTTCAGAGAAACTGCTATGTTTATGAATGGGTTAAGCCTTCCCCTATTTCCTCTAGCGGCTGTCTCATTGACAGCCGCTAGAGGCGCTTGCGTGCTTCTCACTGTGATTTATGAATGCTTTCCTATGTGAACGGCTGAATGCGTGCGCAGCTCTTGCCGCCATTGCGCATTCAACCGCATGGGAGGAGAAGAGGAGGATCGGAGGAGCAGAGCTCCCCGCCCAGCGCTGGAAAAAGATAAGTTTTAACCCCTTTCCCCTTTCCAGAGCCGGGCGGGAGGGGGACCCTGAGGGTGGGGGCACCCTCAGGGCACTATAGTGCCAGGAAAACGAGTATGTTTTCCTGGCACTATAGTGGTCCTTTAAGCAGAGCACCATTTTCATGCAATATGGGGAAGAAAAAGGATCTCTCTGCTGCCGAAAAGAGTGAAATAGTTCAATGCCTTGGATGATGTATGAAAACATTAGATATTTCACGAAAACTTAAGCGTGATCATCGCACTATTAAGTGATTTGTGGCTGATTCAGAGCACAGACGGATTCGTGCAGATAAAGACACATTGAGGATGATTTCTGCCAGATCCATGCATCGGATCAAGACAGCAGCTGCTAAAATACCATTACATAGCAGCAAACAGATATTTGAAGCTGCTGGTGCCTCTGGAGTCCCATGGACATCAAAGTGTAGAGTCCTTCAGAGTCTTGCAACTGTGCATAAACCTTCTATTTGGCTACCACTAACCAATGCTCACAAGCAGAAACAGCTGCATTGGGCAGAAAAATACATAAAGACTAATTTTCAAACAGTCCTGTTCACTGATAAGTGCCGTGCAACCCTGGATGGTCCAGATGGATGGAGTAGTGGATGGTTGGTGGATGGCCACCCTGTTCCAACAAGGCTGCGACGTCAGCAAGGTGGTGGTGGAGTCATGTTTTGGGCCGGACTCATGGGAAGAGAGCTGGTCAGCCCCTTTAGGGTCCCCGAAGGTGTAAAGATGACCTCTGCAAAGTATGTGGCGTTTCTGACTGACCACGTTCTTCCCTGGTACAGAAGGAAGAACTATGCTTTCCGTAATAAAATCATCTTCATGCATGACAATGCACCATCTCATGCTGCAAAGAATACCTCTGCATCAATGGCTGCTATGGGGATAAAAGGAGAGAAAGTCATGGTGTGGCCTCCATCCTCCTCTGACCTTAATCCTATTGAGAACCTTTGGAGCATCCTCAAGCAAAAGATCTATGAGGGTGGGAGGCAGTTTACATCCAAACAGCAGCTCAGGGAGACTATTCTGATATCTTGCAAACAAATTCAAACAGAAACTGTCCAAAACTCACAAGCTCAATGGATGCAAGACTTGTGAAGCTGCTATCAAATAAGGGGTCCTGGGGGGCGGGGCCTGGCCGCCATGCTGAGAGGAAGCACAGAGGAATAGCTCCTGAAAACTTCCCAAGTTTTTGGCACTAAAACCCAGCAAAATTATTATTAAAAGCCTGATACCTACAGCCCAGCGAAAGAAGCAACCCTGGTCCCGAGGAGAAGCTTGCCGTGAGGTTCTAGTCCCTCGGTGGGGCGCTCTCAGCTGAACGCGATGGAGACCGCCCGGGCGGTGAGTGGGGTGGACAGCCGCCGCCCAGCTATCCTGCCCACCAGCGGTTAGGCAGAAACGCACAGCTAGGCGGGCCTGGCCCTGTTCCCCCCCCCCTATGGACCGGCGGGGGTGATCCCGGTCCCCACCCTGTGACCCAGCGTAATGCCGCAACACCAGCGAGAGTCTGCTCCTAAGATGGTGGAGACCGCATGGCAGAGCAGCAGGATGCACCCTCCTCTCCTGCTCCCATACAGGCGGATTGCTGACCGCACCAAAGACGGCACCGGCGAACAAGCGCTTACCTCACACAAACTGAGGAGGAGCAGCATAACGGCCCGACACACCGGCGGATGGTAGACCTGAAGGGAGAACACATTGCAAGGCCTTGGACCAACCTGGCACATGCCCAATCCCCTGTTGAGGGCCCGATTCGGCAGATCTGCCCACCCACAGCCACTAAATCGGGACTCACCACATGCCCAAGACAGGTGCTCGACTGGAACACAAGTGACCCAGAAATAAAGCTTCAATACCCCCCTTACAAGGCCAACGGGACTTTAAGCGCAAAGGCAGCCATTAAGCATTTTACCACGCTACATCACATTGCACTGCACACTAAGGGGTCATCATGAAGGCTGACATGGACTCTCACCAGGCTGACACGGGGTTAACATGGGGTGGTCATTTCATTTTGTTTTAAGCATTATTAAGCATCTCAAGCATTGAAGCACAATCTTTACTGTTGACACTGCTTTTCTGTTTTAAGCTTATGTCTCTATCAAGCACTAAAAGCTCAATTACTCTACTGTTCCTCAACATGTAACCCACGTACATTACTATAAGCCTATGTGTACCCAACTATGTTATTATAATGTCTTACCATGCGTGTTCATTATAACTTCACGTGTCTTTTTCATGTCATTTTCAAAAAAAATGTGCCGTTTAAGCTGCCACGTATTGGAATACTATGAAAATGCCTGCAGTCGCTGTCGTGGCTCTGCATGATTATTGTTATTTGACGCACAAATAAAATAAAGAATTTAAAAAAAAAATAAGGGGTCCTATGTTAAAATGTAACGTGACCTGTTAATGTTTAAAAAGTTAAAATGTTGTTATAAGTTTGATTGAAATAGCTTTTGATTTCAGTAAATATGCTGCAAACTCAACAAATGACAATTTTCAGTTCTTGACAACCTATAAAGTGTTTTGAAATTTACCGTGCGTAATAATTTGGAACAGTACATTATAAGTTTTTTATGTTTAAAAAAAAAATACTGTTATCATTTATCATTTCAATAAAATTTGAATTGTAATCTTAATAGTTGATAACATGAGAATTATGCTGACTGTTATTTACATCAATTAATTAGGTAAATGAGAAAAATATCATTTGCATAATAATTTGGAACAGGGTGTAGATAGGGCATCCTTTGATATATTAATGGCCATTAGCCTTGTGTTCCAAAATCATATCCAAAAGAAACATTAATACTTACCCACAGATTTATAACTAAGCCTAATTTTTTTATATTTAGAATGGTGTTTGGTGTCAAGATGTATTACATTATTGTGGTCCTTAGATGTAGGTTTAGAGAGGCTGTCCCTGTTCAGAGATTCAACCCTGCGTCTGACCTTCTGAAGAACATCTTGGCAATATTTCAGACATGGATGACAGGCAGGTGCCCAGTACGGTTTAATTGACTATTACGCGGCATACTCATAGGAATTTGCTGCAAGGAATTGAATGTTTTTGTTTAGTCGGGTGGAAACTATGTGAGTCCAGTGGGCTATCAGCATCAGTGGTTTTTAAGTATAGATCTGTACTGACTACTACTGAGGCCATCCCCCAGTTTGGAGACCATCACGTCCAAGAAACCCACAGCTCCTTTTTGATAAGCTCATTACAATTGTTGCAAGAAAAGTGCAAAATTATCCACACATTTGTTTGGACAAGAATTTCTGCATTGATAGTCAGTATCAACTTGCGTTCACTGCCATTTTTAAAAAATATTTCTCTGTTTGTCAGATAAAAATCCTTAAACAGGTGTACAATCTCATTATTATTTATATAGCATGAAGCAAATTCCGTAGCGCTGTACAATGGGATCACACTGATGAATATTTCAATTAAAGTGTATAATCGTTTTACTTCTAGTAGAGAATGTTGAATATGTAGTTACAAAGGGATTCATTGCTCTTGTTCATCAAAACATCTGAATACAATAATTTTGCCCGAGTCTTGGCTCTTCAAAACTTGACTGTCAGATTCCAGTCATCATTCCAAATTAGTGCCCACACAAACTATTTGTCTTACCCACACCCACTGGCTACAGGGAACAGAAAGGATTTGATTAGAGGAACAAAAGCATTTGGCATTTAACAAGATAGTCACATCACCTGGTTTTGTATAAATGGCAGTACAAATGGTTTTGTGATTTTTATAAACAAGAACGTCCAAAATAATTATTCAAATGGCATCAGCTTAAATTCACCACAAATGTCAACAAAGAAGAATCCTCACTTTACAATACGAGGAACTGTTGTCTATGCCGCAAAAAAATAAACTGCTCTTCATTCAGATACGAATAGGTTAGCATATGAGTGAGCCATATTTGCCCGCATTGACGTCTCCTTCACTTGCTTGTAATGATCTCCCATCTGAAAACAAATGTTAAAGCTATTTCCAAAAGTTTAAAAAGAAACTCAGATAGTCTCTGTTCTGAGCTAACTCCCAGCAATCGCTCCTCAACCACCTGCGTGTTGTCATGGTGAGGAACTGATGTGTACATGTCTAGGGTAACAAGTACATTGTCTGTCTGAAACGTATCTGCTGTATGTTTAGACACAACATTTAAACCTTTACTAAAAGACATTTGTGTATCCGGTGAATTTAGTACCTCATATCCTTGATTTTTTTTTTTTTTAGTTTGTTGTGTCTTGTAAGCAGCGTTTCTGTCCTTATAGGCTTCTTCACTCCTTTGACCCTTTTTTTTTTTATAGTTTTGTCTAAAATAGGCATTCGAGTTATATTTGAGGATGGAAGCTTCATAGCCAGTTACATAATTCTGAATTCTAGGTCGTCTTGTAGATGTAATAGAAGGATCCTTTTTCTTTCAGCTGTGTTATAATGATAATTCAAAGTATCTCACTTGAACTTACTGAATTTAACAGACTGTAGATTTCCAAGTGTCTTCAGCAATTGCCTGTGTCAACCCATTTAGCTTGTCAAGATCTGTCAGTGAAGACAATTGTGATTGAAATTTCTTGTGAGACTTTAGCAATTAAGTCCAAAAAGTACTTTTCTAGAATCTGGAGCAGTGTTGTGATTTTAAGTTGTCTTTACACAGAGTAGGAATCAGTGAGACCATTGAGCCCTTTGAGATCCTTTAGACACTAATTATATTATTATATTCAATCTGAGTCATCTGGTGAAGTTTATAGACGTGAGAATCAGCACATAGGAAAAATTAGTTTTCCTCTGAGTTGGCACATAGTAAAGCATCCATTTGCTGCTGTGTGTGCATGAACACCTCTGCCCTGTTAGTGGTTAAGTTAAAAATGTCTGCAAAAGACAATACAAAAAATCTGATATGCTCTCTAGTAGCAAAAATGAATTCATACACAATAAAAAGTAAACTGAAATGGAATAGAACTTGGGATGGACTTCCTAGAGGACCAAGATGAGTTTGTTGTGTTTCTATGTAAAACACTTGTTTCAATGACTGTTTTTTTTTTTGTTATCCATTTTCTTCATAAATGTGTAATTGTTTTATAGATGAGAGCGTGATATTCTTTTTGGAGAGTTTTTCAACAATCACTCTGGGTATGAGTGCTCGTTGTGTTGGGTCAGAGACTTGACTGACACACACCCCCCCATCCCCATTTCATGCCTCGTACTGTGTATGTGGCTGAATGAAGCAAATCTTCTTGTCTCTATCCTTCCTGCTCATGTATTAAGGGATTGCTGCCGGGAAATCTAAGAATGGGCACCACCGCAAATCTGTGCACTTTCAAATCCCCTCCATAATTACCTGGTCGCAGCAGTCTCGCTATGGCTGGCCCCAATAGATCCAGCGCTGAATGCTACAACATAGAACCAATAGATCCAGCACTGAATACTAAGACATAGAACTGTGGCTGTTTAGGTGACCGGCACCTTTATCTGTGCATAGGAAAGCAATGGGAAGCTATTGTGCACATGTATCAAAACGCTACGCTGCGCAAATCAACATCTAATGTGGAGATGCTGAACAAGACTAAAAAGCACCTCTAGTGGCCGCCTGAGTGACTGTCACTGAAGGCTAGGCAGCAATGTAAACAGTGACTTTTCTCTTATTGGAATAAGCACGCACAGGAGTTTGAGATTACCCTGTCTAAACACAAAGCTGATACTCTTAATAGGAAACTTTCTAAATTCAAACGTGACACTATTGACTATCTTGACAATAGAGTCTATAATTGGCAATTTAGCCGACAGAGATATTATTATTATTATTATTGTTATTTATATAGCACCATCAAATTCTGCAGTGCTTTACAATGGGTGGACTAGCAGACACGTATTTGTAACCAGACAAGCTGGACACACAGGAACAGAGGGGTTGAGGGCCCTGCTCAATGAGCTTACATGCTAGACGGAGTGGGGTAAAATGACACAAAAAGGTAAGGATAGTACTAGACTAGTGACAGTTGCAGAAGAGGAACCAGTCAGGAGCTATTAACAGTTTAATTGATACGCTTTTATGAAGAAGTGGGTTTTTAACGATTTTTTGAAGGAGTTGAGACTGGGTGAGCATCTAACGGAGGAGGGAAGTGAGTTCCGCAGGACCGGTGCAGCCCTCGAGAAATCTTGAAGGCGAGCATCAGAGGTGGGAGTACGGACAGAAGATAGACGTAAGTCTTCAGCAGATCGTAAGGGCCTAGACGGGACATACTTGTGTATAAGGGAGGATAGATAGGTGGGAGCAGCATTATGTAGCGATTTGAAAGCAAGAACCAGATTTTAAATTGAGCTCTATATTTTATAGGAAGCCAATGTAGGGACTGACAGAAGGGTGAGGCATGGGAGGTGCGGGCGGACAGGAAGATGAGCCTCGCTGCCGCATTCATTACGGACTGTAACGGCGCAAGTTGGGAGCACGTAAGACCACTGAGAAGCGGATTACAGTAGTCAAGGCGAGAAAGGACAGTGGAATGGACCAACACCTTAGTCGCATCTGGCGTTAAGTAGGGACGAATGTGCGCAATGTTTTTGAGATGGAAATGACAGGATTTGGTGATAGATTGAACATGAGGCTTGAAGGAGAGGTCGGAGTCAAAGAGAACACCTAGGCAGCGAGCCTGCGTGGTGGAGCTGATGGTAGCACTGTTGACTTGGAGGGACACAGACACAGGAGTAACAACACTTGAGGGAGGAAAGACCAGAGTTTCAGTTTTGATCAAGTTTAGTTTAAGAAAGTGGGCAGCCATCCAGTTAGAAATAGCAGAGAGGTAGTCAGAGACACTAGTCAAGAGGGACGGGGAGAGATCAGTAGAGGACAGGTAGATTTGCGTGTCAACTGCATAGAAATTATATTGGAAGCCAAAGGAGCTAATGAGTTTACCAAGGGAGGCAGTATAGATGGAGAACAGTAGGGGACCAAGGACTGAAACTTGGGGGACACCAACAGAGAGGAGTTGGGGAGAAGAAGCAGAGCCAGAGAAAGAAACACTGAAAGAGCGCTGGGAGAGGTAGGAGGAGCACCAGGAGAGAGCAACATCTTGTACACCGATATTGCGGAGGATGAGAAGAAGCTGTTGATGATCAACAGTGTCAAAAGCCGCAGACAGGTCAAGGAGAATTAGGATAGAGTAGTGACCATGAGATTTTGCAGCGAGTAGATCATTGGATACTTTGGTCAGTGCCATTTCCACAGAGTGCTTAGCGCAGAAACCAGATTGAAGCGGGTCTAGCAGAGAGTTTGACTCGAGGAAGTCTGTCAATCTTGCATACACAATTTTTTCAAGGATCTTGGATGTAAAAGGCAGTAGCGAGATAGGACAATAGTTGGATGGGGAGTTAGGGTTAAGATTGGGCTTCTTTAGAATTGGGGTTACAGTTGCATGTTTGAAGGGCGATGGAAATATACCAGAGGAGAGAGAGAGATTGAGAATTTTAGTGAGAGGTGGAGAAAGAGAAGAAGACAGAGTACGGATGAGATGCAACGGAATTGGATCTAGGGAGCAGGTGGTGGGGAGGGAGGACTGGAGCAGAGCAGAAACCTCTTCCAATGTAGCGGGTGCGAATGAACATAGAACAGCAGAGGGAGTGAAGGTAGGGGAAGTATTATAAGGGGAAGAAGAAAAATGAGAGATCTCTTCTCTGATTGTAGAGATCTTGTCAGTGAAGTGAGTTGCAAAGTCTGAGGCGGTCAAGTTAGTAGGTGGAGGAGGAACAGCAGGGCGAAGAAGAGAGTTATATGTGTGAAATAGTCATTTGGGTGTGCGGGAGAGTGCAGTTATGAGGGTATTGAAGTAATTAACTTTTGCAGAGCAAAGAGCCAAGCTGTATGAGCTCAGCATAAATTTATAGTGGAGAAAGTCAGATGCACAGTGAGACTTTCTCCAACAGTGTTCAGCAGTTCTGGAGCATTTTTGGAGGTATTGAGTGAGCTTGGTGTGCTAGGGTTATTGTTGGGGGCACCTGCGGCATTTAAATGTACAAGGTGCCATAATGTCTAGTTGAGAATTGTAGAAGGTATAACGCTCCACGTGGGGATTGTGGAACCGGGAGATATTCACCTACACACAGTGATAGTGAGATTTCATCTACTGGATTAACTGGGACAGGCCATTTTTTAGAACAGCACCCCAGGGAAAGAGGCAACACAAAACCAGAAGGGGCAAGAGACACCAGCAGCAACCATCCTCCAAGGAGATATCCAGAGAGGGAGAGGAAAACATGGAGACGTTACTAGTCAACATTTCAGAGAGAGTCCTGACTACATGTGATATTGGTGTCCTTATTAGAGGCTTGGGATTTGTCCCATTTGACAAATTAGATCTTGATGTTGAACTGTATGAAGTTTTTAGAACCTTACGTCTTAAGGTTTTCTTTTCAGATGACAACTCTAGGAGTGATTTTCAGCATGAAGACAACATGATGGCCTTCAACCGGGTTGATCTGTCAAAGTGTAAGAACAAAAGTAAGTTCATCCTCAGCCACAAATCCTACGTTGGAAACCTTTATCAAATTATGTCAATTGGATCTCTCCAAGATCAAATGGTCCCACAAAGGGGACTCAAATTTGAGTAAGGATGAATTGAGTACGCTAAGTACTTTAAGGGGTGATGAATATATCACTATCAGGGTTGCGGATAAGGGTGGTGCCATAGTTGTTATGGACACTGATAAATATGTAGGAGAGGCACTCACTCAACTTTCTAACTTGACCCACTATAAAAAACAGACAGGTGATCCCACGGAGAATATTCAAGGTAGTTTTCGAAGGATTACCGGTACATCACGGGCATTGGAAGAGAATTTAATCAATAACATTTTTTTTTATTTATTGAATATCTCCACACCAAGAACACCCTTTCTGTATCTTCTTCCTAGATTCACAAGAATCTTTTGAACCCCCCAGGTAGACCGATAGTTTCGGGTTGTGGGTCAGTACTACAACCACTGGCACAATATGTCGATTCCTTTTTACAGATTCTGGTTGTACAAATGAAATCATATATACGTGAAACCACAGACTTTTTTAAGCAAATTGAATGGATTACAGTTTTCCTGTTCTAATACTATCTTATGTACAATGGATGTGTGTAGTTTATACAGATCCATTCCCTATGTTTGCGGGATTGAAGCTGCGGCTTCATCCTTGGCAAAATTGCATATTGGTTCAGACTTAAGTGATTTTGTTCTATCATTACTTGAACTTGTGTTGACATGTAATTTCTTTACATTTGGCAACGATTTATTTTTACAAATACAGGGCAGCGCGATGGGGGCCAATATGGCTCCATCTTATGCCAACTTGTACATGGCTAAGTTCGAGGAAGATTTTGTGTACTCGCATCCCTTGTTTAAACACATCGTCATTTGGCTTCGCTATATTGATAATGTGTTTTTCCTTTGGAATGGCACGGTAGAAAATCTGATGCTATTCAAATCTGATTTGGATCAATATGTCCCAAGTATCCAATATACACTTGAACATGATGCATCCAATATACACTGTTTGGACGTGGTAATAAGTAACACTGTAGAGGGCTTAGCATTTGATTTGTTTAGGAAACCCACTGATACGGTTGCATTCCTACAGGCCAACTCCTTCCATCCTTCAAACATGATTCAAAGTTTACCATACAGCCAATTGCTACATCTCCGACAGATTGTATCCCAGGAGGAGAACTGTTACACACAGGCTCGCAAGATGTTGGAAAATTTCCGCTCCAGAGGCTATAATGACACCTCTCTACATCAAGCGTTTGAAAAGGTTAAAATCATTGAGAGGACCAACTTATTGCAATCACAGGGTAAGAGGAAAACAACCACTAACAGGTTTGTGAGACATGTCATTCTTAAGAATTGGCACGTGTTATAGAGTGACCCAACCATCTGTGATCTTTTTGCAGAGAGACCTATTATGGCATATAAAACGTCGAGGAATATCAAAGCACTGATATCTCCTCCTAGATCTATTACTCCTTCGAGCAAATCCTCTTGTCTGGCACTGATCTCCGGCATGCGCCGATGTGGACATTGTGCCAACTGTAACAATGTTATATCAGGCCCTGAATTTGTACATCCCAGAACAGGAAATACATTTTCTATTCATGATTTTTTGAATTGCCAATCTGATCGGGTGATCTATTTGATCAAATGCCCATGTGGGCCAAACGTGGGCCAAACTTCCATATCTGTGAAGTGACGTGGGCCAAACTTCCATATCACTCACTATACGGATAGGTGAACATAAAAGTACTTTACGTACGAAAAAGCGACATGTATCGCTGGCAAAACATTTTATTGACTATTGGCATTCTGTGGCCTAGCTTAGATTCCAGGCAATTCAGCGCATCAAAAAGAAAATTTCTGGATGTTCTCTTTCAGACTCACTAAAACGAGCAGAACTCCGTTGGATCTATCGATTGGACACATTATTCCCTCATGGATTAAATGAGGAATGCGACTTCAACCCATTTAGGTAATTAATTAATTTTAGATTTTTCTGTTGTGTGTATTTTTACATAATATTAGGAACCTCTGCCGAGAATTTTTTAAAGAGTATTCTTTACTCAAATTTTTCACTTCACAGTTTTTCCTTTTAGTGATTACGGCCATTGGATGTTTGGACTCCTTCGCATTTATGGACATGGATATGGATTCACATTGGACTTTTACATGTATCACAAAATTGATTCTGGATATCTGTATGAAGCATTCATATGCTGAAGATTTCTTCGTGCTCATGCTCTTTATACCTATATGAATACATTCTCTGACATATATTTATGTTAATATCTATTAATTTCACTCAGTAGGTACATAGTAGTCGTGCTATGGATTTATATATTGTTTGGGTGGACCTAGTACCCTTTTATGCATGGAGTCCTGGGTTTTGCAGGCTGCTGTACAGATATATTGTTTATAACATTATTGGTAGCTTTTGATACTTATTTTCATTGTGTTGCATAGGTATGACTATTATGGAGGCTGATGTGATATGACATGCTTACTTTATCATTATTTGTCTTGAACATTAATGGTTTAAACTGGTCTTCCTTTTACCTTTTTTTCTTTTTTATGCCTTTCTATTTTGTTTCCTTTGGTATTTAGATTTATTTCCTTTTTCAATCTTCTCTTTACTTTATTTATTATTTATCTATGGCACATTGATATTGGTCTGCCTGCTCTGCACCTATTCTCTGTTCACAGACTCACTGCATTAAACTATGATCCTGTCAGGCACCCTGAGAGTTAACTATATCAGAATTCCGGGCTATTCCAGGGGGGGAGGACATTAGGTCCCCCATTACTAGTATTTAGGGCCCCCACCCACTGCCCACGGGGGAGGACATTAGGTCCCCCCCTTATTAGTATTTAGGGCCCCCACCCACCGCTCAGGGTCTTTCAGCCTTTTGGTAGATAACTCCCTAATACCATGGGAATTAGGGAGTTATCTATTATCTACTAAGCGGCTGCAAGAGAAGTCCCGAAAGTGCCGAAATTCTGAAGTGTCGAAGTTGCCAAAGTTCCGAATTTCGGAATGCCGAACCGAAAATTTTCCCCATGCGCATGCCTACTGTTCGGCGCTGTAGCGCATGCCTATTTGATCCCTAAGATAGGACTAGCGGAGCCGCATGTTGGAACACATTGTCCGTTCCATTCCAATTCCCCTTATGTTGCGCATGTGTGATTTTCCGGTAACGTCTGTCTTCCAGCGGATGGACGCAGACGTGGGTGTGGGCTTTGTTAGGACAGTGGAACGCGTGTGCATTCCCCCAGTTCCTCGTTCAGCTATACTGCACAGGTACAGGATAGTGTCCTGAATGATTGCTGAGCTAAGGTGCAGATGGCTATTTACGGTCCCTTTGGAATTTTATGAGACATGATGACCAAGATACAGGTTCTGTATTAATATTTTTTACACTGTTTTAGGTGATCAGAAGTTCTTTTTATAGTTTATATGATATCTTATCATTATATATTTTTTCATATTCCATATGATATTCTTTCAGTATATATTGTATTTGCTTATCACAGAAAAATGCTTCTTTTTAGTCTAAATATGTATACTTCCAAAATATGATAATGTGATGAACAGTGTTTGTTTATTGGTTACCTTACCAACCATAGTCATGTGACTATGATTGTGGGAGTTCCAATCATTCATGGGTGGCCACCTATATCACTCAGGTGTTTTCCATATTTTTATTAAATGTTGGTATATAAAGGTTATTATGTTTCCTTCACCACATGCTCCCTTGATAAAGGTGGATAGCGCCGAAACGTTGGGGGCTATTTTGTGTTTGACGTCTTCACCCGCTTCTCATGTTTCTTGGTATTTGGTATGTACATTTTTGGTTTACTATTTTATACAGGTATCATAATATTTCTCTGTTGTATCAGTGGTTACATCACGCATTGTTGATTACTTAGATCAGAATTTTTCTATTTTTGCTCTTCTTTTCTTTTTGTCCTAGTCATGGTTTACATATTGGACAGATATGTTTAAACATACAGGGAGTGCAGAATTATTAGGCAAGTTGTATTTTTGAGGATTAATTTTATTATTGAACAACAACCATGTTCTCAATGAACCCAAAAAACTCATTAATATCAAAGCTGAATATTTTTGGAAGTAGTTTTTAGTTTGTTTTTAGTTTTAGCTATGTTAGGGGGATATCTGTGTGTGCAGGTGACTATTACTGTGCATAATTATTAGGCAACTTAACAAAAAACAAATATATACCCATTTCAATTATTTATTATTACCAGTGAAACCAATATAACATCTCAACATTCACAAATATACATTTCTGACATTCATAAACAAAACAAAAACAAATCAGTGACCAATATAGCCACCTTTCTTTGAAAGGACACTCAAAAGCCTGCCATCCATGGATTCTGTCAGTGTTTTGATCTGTTCACCATCAACATTGTGTGCAGCAGCAACCACAGCCTCCCAGACACTGTTCAGAGAGGTGTACTGTTTTCCCTCCTTGTAAATCTCACATTTGATGATGGACCACAGGTTCTCAATGGGGTTCAGATCAGGTGAACAAGGAGGCCATGTCATTAGATTTTCTTCTTTTATACCCTTTCTTGCCAGCCACGCTGTGGAGTACTTGGACGCGTGTGATGGAGCATTGTCCTGCATGAAAATCATGTTTTTCTTGAAGGATGCAGACTTCTTCCTGTACCACTGCTTGAAGAAGGTGTCTTCCAGGAACTGGCAGTAGGACTGGGAGTTGAGCTTGACTCCATCCTCAACCCGAAAAGGCCCCACAAGCTCATCTTTGATGATACCAGCCCAAACCAGTACTCCACCTCCACCTTGCTGGCGTCTGAGTCGGACTGGAGCTCTCTGCCCTTTACCAATCCAGCCACGGGCCCATCCATCTGGCCCATCAAGACTCACTCTCATTTCATCAGTCCATAAAACCTTAGAAAAATCAGTCTTGAGATATTTCTTGGCCCAGTCTTGACGTTTCAGCTTGTGTGTCTTGTTCAGTGGTGGTCGTCTTTCAGCCTTTCTTACCTTGGCCATGTCTCTGAGTATTGCACACCTTGTGCTTTTGGGCACTCCAGTGATGTTGCAGCTCTGAAATATGGCCAAACTGGTGGCAAGTGGCATCGTGGCAGCTGCACGCTTGACTTTTCTCAGTTCATGGGCAGTTATTTTGCGCCTTGGTTTTTCCACACGCTTCTTGCGACCCTGTTGACTATTTTGAATGAAACGCTTGATTGTTCGATGATCACGCTTCAGAAGCTTTGCAATTTTAAGAGTGCTGCATCCCTCTGCAAGATATCTCACTATTTTTGACTTTTCTGAGCCTGTCAAGTCCTTCTTTTGACCCATTTTGCCAAAGGAAAGGAAGTTGCCTAATAATTATGCACACCTGATATAGGGTGTTGATGTCATTAGACCACACCCCTTCTCATTACAGAGATGCACATCACCTAATATGCTTAATTGGTAGTAGGCTTTCGAGCCTATACAGCTTGGAGTAAGACAACATGCATAAAGAGGATGATGTGGTCAAAATATTCATTTGCCTAATAATTCTGCACTCCCTGTATTGAAACTTTATGATGTATTTGTTGATACCTGTTATATGTGTACCTATATAATAATGTTTTTTGCATTTTTATCGGTTGTGCTCCTCCTTTCATTACTAAGTGTTTACAGTACTAACACTGCAGGGGCAGCTATAGAAACACTACATTAAGCTGAAGCGGTTCTAGTGACTATAGTGTCCGTTTGAAGAAGCAGTTTTAGTGTATAGTTCATGCCCCTGCAGTCTCACTGCTAAAATCTCTGCCAGGCATCTCTTCCCGACTGACTGCTGCCCAATTCAAACGGTTAACGCTAACCTACAAAGTCTCAGTAACTCCGCTGCTCATTGCATTTCCTCTTTACCTACAAAATACACCCCTTCTCATTCTCTGCGCTCTGCATGTGACTTTCTCCTGTCTTCTGCTCGTTCCCGTTATATTAACTCATTTGCAGGATTTCTCAAGGGCTGCCTCATTCTTATGGAATTCCATGACCTGCGCCATCGGCCTCTCCCATAGCCTCTAGTCTTTTAAGAAGTCAATAAAGACATCTCTTTAGGAAAGCCTACAATTTGACAGTGTGACGCTTCTCTCGTTACAGTTGCCCTCCTCCGTTCCCTTGTTTCTATAGCCAGTCCACTCTCTCTCCGTCTACTCTTCGGCACATTCCATGCAGCAATTTCACCAGCTTATTTTGACACAGGCATCTTATTCATCTGTCCCTGTCCCCCGGAGACATGCTGTTTTCCCTCTTTTGATTCTTTACCTCTTCTTCATAGATTGTAGGTTGGTTGAGCAGGGCCTTATTCACCTTTTTGTCTGTCAATAACTTGTATTTAAATTATCCACTTTCTATTTAGATATCCCTTTCCATAATTCTACTCTCAGAAAACAAAGACTGAATGTGATAGCGAATGCTTTTTACAACATGGCACCAAACAAACTTCTTTCATCCGCCATCTCGTCAAACTTTTATTTCTAGGCCTGGATAACATGACATTACTCATTTGGGAAAGTAATGTACAATATACAAGTAGTAAGATTTGCAGTAAACATACACAAGACAAAAGCTCATTTAATGACAATATGGACTCTGGTTCTAAATGTGACAAAATACCAAAGATGAAGCAAAAGTGATTTTAGATATGATAAAGAACGCGATACAGCCCAAAACATTGAGTGTTTCATGGCTAGGCAATTTGTTCAGAACATTGAACATCTCAATAGTAAATCTGTCTCTTCCATTTCCTACATTGACTTGACGTTTCCTAAGAGTAAGTATGGTTAATTGTAATACATTTAGCTTCATTTTCATTTTCTATTGTAAAGAGATAAAGAGGATCACTATTTCATGTACAGGAGACATTTGTTTTCTGCTTCTGCTGTCTGCTGACAAAGAATCATTGAAGTGAATTTCATCACACAACAGTAGAACAGCAGTTACAAAAATATAAAGTTTATCTGCAAGAATTCTAGCTCAATGATAAATACTTACTTGTTGATTAGGGCTCATTAACTCTTCAAGTGCTTCATGAACTTTTTGGTATCCTTTTCGTAATGCTTGTGGCATCACTAAGTGCAGGTCATCCTGTAACGCATGGATATCTAACAGTACGTTTTGGAGCCTTTGGTAGGATTCTTCATTAGAATTTCCCACTGTGTTGAGGAAAAGAAAAATGTGTAAATGCAAGATACAGAACCCCTTTTTTGACTATATTTCATGAATGTGCGGTATATCGCACATATTCTGTCTAAGGGTTAGCAGGTCAATGATTTGCTTGTAGATTACTAGATATGTAGTATGTATTAGCTTTACTTTGTGAACAAAGATTTAGGTAGTGGGTTGTCAACGTCTGCTGCAAACTTGCTGGTGGCTGAGGAGGCCAATGCAGGACAGAAAGATCCGCCCGCAGCAGCTGCAGGGGAAAATCTGGTCTTACTTTGATGCAACAATGTCAGGGTCCTTCCTCGGTTTCTTTTTAACTCAAGATCTGACCTGCGTGCCTTGTTGAAGGAGGAGACAGCCTGATGAATTGTGTATATCCGAGTCTCGCGATCAGAGGATCAGAAAGCAGATCAGTGACAATGGTCAATGTGACAGGCACTAAGGGATTTCTTCATAAAGTCCTTGTACCTTCTCTTTGGTGCTCCTCTGTCGCAGTGACGAGTGGTGAGTTCACCACACAGCGCAACCTTTGGTAGGCAATGATCTCCCATCCTGGAGACATGCCCTGTCCAACACATCTGCGCCTTCAAAAGCATAGCCTCCATGCTGGTGGTCTCCACTTTTTCGAGTACTTCAATGTTGGTGATGAAGTCATTCCAATGGATGTGCTATATATTTATGTTGTATGCATTCAGCAAAATTTATTTTAACCTTGTCTCTTTAAATGAAGCACTGATGGCTCTCATGTTCCTGAAACATTACATGCACAGTCAGTAACCTCAGCATGCTGATAATGTAGCTGTCTCCAATGTTGTTTCTTATCTCTGAATACTTCAAGGTTTATGCACTTCAAGCTCAAATGAAGGACCATCGAGTGCTTCATCTTAACAGTATACTGTAAGATTCTTCTCAGACTGACTTCCTGGATTTCTGACTCAGCTTGGTTACTCTGGGATAACTCATTTTGCTTAATCCCATTGTACCTAAACTATCCAATGACCATGACCAGAAAATGAACATCCTTACTCCTAATCACCTAATAAGGTTTTATCATTGGTATTTGTAAAGAGCTTTACAAAGTTAACTGAGCTGAATAATATGCCTGAATTTTTGTTATTTTATTTTTGTTAAAAACAGAGAATACCTTACAACCCCCACCTTGGGGAGTCTAGCTTGTACCTCGAAGCCTACCTACAAAATTCATTAATTGCTGAATCTGATGTATGCAATCATTTGCATGATGTATGGGGATTCGCCATTATGCGATGTGCAGCCATACAATATCTTGTTGTTGTTCTATATACCCATGTTACGCAATACATGTATTATTCTGTCATTATTCCGTACCAGGCCAATCTATTTGTTTATTGTATTGTGAATTTTTTATTGGTCAAATATAAACAAATAAAGAATTTTAAAAAAAACAACAACAAAAAATGAGTTTATTGGATTGGATTATCCTCCTTCCTTCTCTGGATTTCTGGTGCACCTAACTAAATCGACGTTTAGTTAATAACCCATTGTAAATGTGGAACATAAATAATTACAACAGATTATCAGCGCCTTTGTGTTGTATAAACAATGGAATCGCAGACATCTCAAGCTTTGGAATCATTAAAGCAAAGGCTTGATCTAATAGCATAATCTATGCATGAGTTACGCTTAAAACAGAATAAATTAGAAACTCAAAACTTTCATTTCCTTCAAGGCATTGACTCACCGAACCATTAAACTCCCTATTTAATACATTTTCTGGAGTTCAGAACTTTTTTTTCATGAATGCAGATCTATATTTGCAGTAAAACCACACACTTATTACAATGAAGACATTACGATCAAAACCTCAATTTCTCTACGTCAAGGAGATCCAAATTGGCCTTCCAATTATTGGAAACTGTCTACATAATTTAGATGATTTTTTACTTGAATTATCCAAGTTATATGAACATTCACATAAAACTGACACTGCAAAAAGTAAACCATATAACCTTACTCAAGGAAGATACAAAATTGAGGAATATAAAACACAATTTAAGAGATGGTCCTCTGATACAACATTGAACGAGTCTGCCCTAAAAATCCCAATATATAATTTGATTGTCTCAGACTGGTATTCCAGAATCTTTAAATGATTTAATTGATTGAACAATACAGTTAGACCGACGCATGCATGAAAAAAATACTTCTACTTATTAAAAAAAAATTTTTTCCCCCAGTACTAAAACCGTATACACTACAGATTCATCTAAGCCAGAACCTATGGAAGTTGGATCTATAAAGGGACCTCTATCTGAAGAGGAAAAACAATGAAGAAGGGCTCATAATCTGTTTTTATTGCGCTTCATCAAATCACCTCTGTCCAAGTTGCCCCTTATCACGAAAGAACAGAATAGGTAAGGACTATTTTTGTTCTTTAAATACATCTTCTGATACTAGTTCTTATCTAACAGTAAAGATTACATTAGAGATCAATTCATACCCATATGACTGTATTGATATTATAGGTTCAGGTGCCACTGGATGTTTCTTAAATTGTAAATTTATCAATGACATCAAAATTCCTTTGAATAAACACAATATTCATATATATTGTTTGATTGTACAAATTCCTATGAAGGTCCTATAACCCATCATACCATTCCATTAACCCCTTAAGGACCAAACTTCTGGAATAAAAGGGAATCATGACATGTCACACATGTCATGTGTCCTTAAGGGGTTAAAGACAACTACAGAATACACACAAAGGCAAAAACTGAATATAATAACAGAAAAACAGGGCACCACAATCACTTTAATAGTTCAATCTGGAAATTCCCATAAAAAGGAAACAATCAGTAGAGATCAAACACCCAATTTATTAAAAATAAAATAAAATTAAAAAAAACACGTGCAATATTGCAAATATACAAAAGCCAAGATTGGCCAAGAGCCCTTAGGAATAGCAGCTTTGAAAAAACATGATACTAGGATAATAATAAAAGTCCATGTGCTAAAGTGCAAAAGTTATAGTCAAAAGGAAAGTGCAAAGTGCTTGTCAGACCAGCAGAGTTCTTGATAGTGCTCTGCGCGTTTCGTCGATCCGACTTCCTCAGGAGCTTCTTTCTTCTTCCCAGTCTTCTCTCTTTTAAATCCGCTGGTCCATGTATCCACTTCCGTGATCGCGCAAAGCACGTCGCTCGCACCGTCATATGTAATGACGTGTGTGCGACCGATATGCGCATGCGCGACCAAGCTGGAACGCAGCATAACTTTATGTGTCATTTACACAGCCGCATTATGAACGTTCGACAAAAAAACCTGCCTGTATATAATACAAATAGGACTGTGCAAAAAAAGTATTATAAAAAATGTGTAAAAATATATATATAAAAATTAAGTGGAGATAAAAGCAAATTGTTCTTATATGTTGTGTGGAGATAAGTCCATTTGTATTCCTAAACATTATGATATGGGTACACAATTTAATTAATATATGCATAATATCCCCATATATAGGGTTAATCTTATTGGAGTAGAACATTTTCAACACACAATTATCAGAATAATCAGTATAGGGGTATACATATTACTCTGATATGGAGGTAAATATAACAGGAAAACAAATAAAATGAAATGCAGATACTGTATATCATAAAAACTAAATACATTATATATGGGCAAGTCTTGAGGGAAATAAGAAAGATGAAATACGCATATTTACTTGAAAATGGAGGCAATAAACTTCAGGTGATGTATTTAAAAATGTACAAAAACATATAAAAATGTTAAAACTAGTCATAGACTTTAAAAAGGAGGAAAGAGTTATATTAATAAGAAAAATAAAAAAAGAGATAAAAAGAGAAGAGATTAGTATCAAATTGGACAACATACTCATTCCATAAAAGCCAATATATTGAGATCTGTGTGACGAGACCAATCTTGCCACTGTGCATTGGAGGAGCCTGGTTGCCCGCCTGCTGCCTTTAGACTATGGCCCCATGTTGAAACGCTTGATTTTCCCCTGCAAAGACATGAAAGCCGGGTCATTCGGTACTTGCCCTATTTGAACAGTGATACCCCATATAGCTATGCCATGGAGCCCATTCGTATAATGAAAGACTATGTGAAAGACTTTGGCTCCATGGCAATTGAACTGTATGTATGTGATCTGAGCGCCATTCAGTAATAATGTGCGCTCAGATCTAAGCTATCTGTGGATATGTTGAATGTACCTGTTTTATGCAATAGCTGCACAGTTTTATATTTTTATGTATTTTATTTGGTTTTTCTACCATGTGTTCAATGGAGTTTTGACTCTGTCCTTGGAGATAATTGGATTACTTCCCAATTATATCCAGGATAGAAAACTTTGTGGAACTGGTTTTGGGCAGAAAAGCTATGCTTCATTTGGTCACAAAGGACTACGATCTATCTTTTGAACCACTGGACCAAGTTGTATGATTTTGAGTATGCTGATTCTGAAAATGTAAGTATTATGTGAATGTGATGCATACTTTTAAAGTTATGAATAATGTGGAAAAACTGTATTTCTCTGCCTGTGATAATTACATTAACCCATCTACCTATCTATCACAGGCAGAGGGGAGGAGTTTGTGTGGGAGTGTCTGAGTGTATTGTACGTGTTTATTGGTTGTTTTACAAAACCCTGTGGGTGGTACTAATGTGTAAGAATGTGTATATAAGAACAATAAACCTACAGCTCTGCCTGTTCCTGTTTTGACCCTCAACACAGAGCCTTGTCTCGTTCTTGGGGGGATTTATTGTATGCTGTTCCAGATCGAATGCTAGGAGTGTAAACCTTTTGTATGGTTTTTCCTATTCAACTGTTTACAGCATTCGTATGTTTGAGAGCATTCGTATGCTTCTCCGGTTCGGTGGATTGGTGTCTTTGGTAGCTGCCTGTGTATCTGGAAGGGGGATATCCTCTAAAAGACATTTAACCCCTTTTATGTCTGGGGGTGCAGTTACAATCTGTATTAAGACCTGAGGGGACAGAGGATTTCATTCTGTATATCCACTCAGTCTCCCTCATTGCTAACATTTTTTCGGAATCTCCACCCCTCCAGTGTGGTGTAATTATACTGATCCCGATACATATAAAATCTTTAAAATTAAATTATTTAAATATATGAAGGAGTCCCAGAGAATATTGGGAGACTCTAATACCTATAAGATTTTAAACGGTAACCCTAAGTGATTTTAAAGAAAGGTTACATGATATTTTAAATGTTGGTATGGATAAAGAAATTATAAATAAAGATGAGTTTAATTATTTATCACATCTCCCAAGACAGCAGTTTTTTATTACTTGCCAAAAGTTCACAAGTGTCTTGAGTCTCCACCAGGAAGGCCCATTATCAGTGGGATTGGTTCCCTCACTAGTAACATATCCCAGTACATTTTTTTCTTGCAGAAATATGTGACACAGGCTAGATCATATACGAAGGATTCTGCTCATATTATTAAGGAATTTGAGGAACTTGATTGGAAGGAGGAGTATTTTGGGGTGACAGTGGATGTAACATCCCTATATACTGTCATATATCATGAAAAGGGTATAAAGGCCAACCAAAGTGTTTTAAATAATGATCCCGAGATGCATTTTGAACAGATATCTTTTATTCTAGATCTTATTAGGTTCATCCTGTTCCACAACTTCTTTTTGTTTGAAGGAGTATATTACCTTTAAACATGTGGGACAGCGATGGGCACCAGGTTTGCACCGAGTTACGCCAAACTTTTTGTGGCGGATTGGGAATTTAAAAACATTTGGCAGAATAACCCATTCGGTGCGAACCTGGTGTAGTGGAAAAGGTACATCGATGATGTTTTAATAATCTGGAAGGGAGAAAAGAGTATGTTAGAATAATTTTTAACCTTTATCAACTCCAATACTTACGGTCTAAAGTTTACAGAAGAAATTCAAGAAACTCAAATTAACTTTTTAGATCTAACTCTGTTTGTGAAAGAAGGGAAGGTTTGGAGCAAGACCTATTTTAAACCAACAGATGGGAATGGTTTATTGAACTTGAGTTGCCACCACCGTACGTGGTTGACCAATATTCCTAAGGGGCAACACATGAGGATTTTTAGAATTTGTACAGATAAGGAGGATTTTTATAGAACAAGTACAGATTTTAAATAAGACATTTTCTGATAGCAATTACCCTGGAGACCTTCTATCCAATACACAGAAAAAAGTTGAAGGTCTCCAAAGAGAGGATCTCTTATTAAATCAAGGAAAAAAATTATAATTCAGAATTTGCTT